CGGGAGCCCCTGTCAACGGCTGCCGCCTTCTGAAAGCACAAGGGAGGGGGATAAGGGCTCAGAAGTGCTCTCTGTGCTGGTTGATGGTGAACTGGTCACACCCCCTTTCCCTGCCTCAGTTTCCTTGAGGACATTGAGAGAAGCCTTGGGAAGAGGTCTCTGGAATAGCTTGGTCACTGTCTAGCCAAAGGGACCGGAAGGCGATAGGAGGAGGACAGCCAGCCCAAGGGAGAAATAGAGCCAGGGCTGGAGACATTAAGCCCTTTTCTGGGCTAGAAAATAACAGCGGGTTAGCAAAAATTGAATTGGAATTGATTTCAATAAACCATCAAAACCCAGGAGGTAGAGCTGCTTAGCCATCAACTGCAAGTAACAGCTTGGCCAAGACTGAAAAGGCGTTGCCAGCAGAGATGAGGGTTGCTGTGGGTTAGCGGCTGGTCTGTGGTGCATCCTTTGGAGGGATGGAGCTGTTTGATCTCCCATCCTGTATCTGCATCCTGGGTCCATGACTGATGATGGGATTCAGGGGCTGCCCCTCTCCTTTGGCCTTTGGCTCCCAATCTATAGCCTACCTGCCCTCCTGATCCAGTGGTTCATGCCAGGCTTGGCTGGGCCCCGTGCAGAGGTGATGCCTCCTGCTGCCTGACTTCTGCCAGATGCCCTTTTACCTCCGGTGATGCTCACTCGCACCCATCGGCCAGGGCCAATGAGCGGGTCTCTCCTCCTGCAGCTCTCTGCAGCCCGCTGAGCATGTCCAGCCCCTACACATCCTCCTTTGGGATGGTGCCTCACGCCACCCTCAACGGGGAGCTCCCAGCCCCCAGCATGTACATGGGCATCCACCTCTCGCCGCAGGTCAGCAGCGCCATGATGTACAGCCGGTCCCCAATGGTAAGTTGCCAAGGGATAGGCCAAGCATGTGTTGGCTCTGATGCCTGTCTCTTGCTGTCCTGGGCATGCCCCGTCCCTGACAGCAAGGAGGAGAAGCCGAGGCGGGGGGGCGGTGTGTGCAGCCATAGGAAGGGCTCCCTTCTGGATGCGTCTGGGTTGTGGGGCTGGTGGAGGCTGCAGAGCTCTTGGAGAAGCTGCCACTGGTCCCGCTGGTGGGTAGCTGTGTCTTTGGGAGCCCATTTTGGCCTTTGTCACTTGTGTGTGGAGAAAGCAGCAAGCAGGGACCTTGCACAGAGCTGGGCTGGTCCCATCCAGGGCATGCAGGGAAAGGGATGAGCCCAGCCTTTGTGCCCCCTCCATTGCTTGTCATGTGCTCTTTGCTTTGTACAGGTGGCTTTTGAGTCACACCCTCACCTGAGGGCTTCCACCATCTCATCTTCACTCGCCACCATCCCCGGAGGGAAACCGTAAGTGTGGCCACACACATGTGCGTGGGCTGCAGGGAGGGTGGGCAGCAAGGGGCCAAGCCAGGCAGCATCGTGGCAGTGTGTGTGTGGGGGGGTGTCTCCCTCCTTCCCCAGGGCTCATTTCAATACCCAGCAGGTGTAGGGCAGGGCCTGCCTGGAGTTTCTCTCCACTTCTGAGTCCAGTGCTGTCATTTTGTTCTGGGCAGCTGGTGGTAACAAGGAGCTGGTTAATTATATCCCTCATTAGCCAGAGCGCACTGGACACCTTCCACCTGGCTCATGCGTGGCTAATGGGAGAGGTCAGCTCCTGCATTCAAGCATGATGCAGGAGTTGTTCAGTCCTCTCTTCTGCTCCCTTCCAGCGCCTACTCCTTCCATGTCAATGCCGATGGGGAGATGCAGCCGGTGCCTTTCCCACCTGACGCCCTCATCGGCTCCGGCATCCCCCGCCACGCTCGGCAGCTCCACACCCTGACCCACGGCGAGGTGGTCTGCGCCGTCACCATCAGCAGCTCCACGCAGCACGTCTACACCGGGGGCAAGGGCTGTGTGAAGGTGTGGGACGTGGGGCAGCCGGGCACCAAGACGGCTGTGGCTCAGCTGGACTGCTTGGTAAAGAGGAGGAACAGAAAGCCATTTTGTGGGGGCAGGGAAAGGGAATGTGCCCCTGTTACAATGGAGTGGGACAGAGGGTCCTTTCATGTCTGTGATGAAAAATGGAGATCCGTCTCCTGCACCCGCCATGCATTGATCGGCTCCTTCTTCACTTGCCCCATTCCCTGTAATCCCAATTCAGAACCGCGACAACTACATCCGCTCCTG